TGTGTGTGTGTGTGTGTGTGTATGTGTGTGTGTGTGTGTGTGTGTGTATGTTGTATGTATATGTGTGTGAAAAGAATCCTGATATTTATTCCAGGGTCCTAGCTGCCTATACTTGGTGGTTTTTTAATTTATCTTTTTAATTTTAATTTTTAAAAAAAATGATCAGCACCCAGTCAAGAGCAGGAGTTTCAGTTCTTTAGCTGTTCTAAAGAATATCCTTCTCCTCTAATTGTGACAGGGGCCAGCTCACTAGGGTTGGCAGCCAGATTCTGTAAATGGGACCGCTGTGTTTACGGTGACTAACTGCCAACAACTGAGGCTTGCTCTTAAGGTTTAAGTCAATATTTATGAAAAAGAAACCGAACACACCAAGACTGAGAAAAAACAAAACAAAACAGCAAGTGACTGTTTCTCAGTGTCACAATGTAGATATCTCAGTACTCAAAAAAGTAAAAAATCCATAGGTTATTGCCATTTTCATTCCTACTAATCAGAAGTATAAGTATACTTCATTATACTTACAGTATAAGTAAGTTACCAAAGACAGCCTCGGCATATGAATTGCACCGTGTATTTTTTGTCTTAAACACACAGAATCACAACACGTCCTGTAATTCTCATTGTTCACCACGTCCATGAAGATGTATGAGTAGTTAGGGCCAAAGTGTCAAGCTGCCGCCCTGGATGGCCTCCAAAGGCTCTGTGGGGCCTGCTTTACAATGTCTGAAGAATCACGAAGTAAACCCACCAACAAAAAAAGGCATAAACAACCAACTGATGTTTTGCACCCAATTTGGAACTCGAATGAAAACATTTTCAGCACAGAAACTGCTACATACTTGGAAAGATGCTCTTAGAAGCCCATGTATTAGCTACAGAGGCAGAACGGGGAAAAAAACAAAAAACAAAAAACAAAAAAAACCCCCGAGACTTCCAAAGCCTCGAAGGAAAGTGTAAGCATTTGGTTTTCTGCTTTCCCAAATGTGCAATAGCTTTTGTTTTAATGTAAAAGAATATTTGAATTTTGAAAAGCAGCATTTATAACTGCTTTGATTTTTATCAAACTTCCAAACTATGTCCCAAATCAAACAATGTTCTATTAGCCCAAGAATTAAAAAATGAAAGTGGCCTGCTAAATAAATTGTATTGGTATAATTTAATTTAGAAAACCAAAATAGAATCTTACTTCCTTGACTTTGATTTCTTTCTTTCTTTTTTTTTTTTAAAGAGTACTTTCAAAGTTTGAGGGGAAAATGGTATTTCATATATGATACATATTTTTTTTTTCAAGAATACTACATACAGCACAATTTTAAACAAAATCCCTGCTGGATTCAAAGAAAGAACAGGGAAAACTTGAGTCCTGTTACCCTTAAGGGGAAAATAAGCTAAAGAATGGAAATGTTTTCAACTTCATGATGGATTATGTTTTTAATAGTTTCGCCACAACAAAGCATTTTATTGAAATGGCCGTTCTATGCCAGATCAGGGCGCGCATGCACACACCATTATTTTAATGAGCTTCCACAAGAATCCACATTCCCAGATGAGGAATCGGATTCTTTGAGCCTTTTGGGGGGTGGGGGGGGGTGGGGGAAAGGAGTAACTTACTTGTTTTTCAAATGCCGTTGGTACTAGTCGTCTCAATTCAGACAGACTGTTATTGATTCGGTCCCGACGCCTTTTTTCTATGATCTAATCCCAAAGAAAGTGGAAGAAGAGTTTAAGGATGCATACACAGTAACGTTCGGGATAGGAAAGCAGCAGCAGCAGTGGTGGGCATGTTAGACGGCGTGGCATCCAAGGGGGGGGAGAGGGGGTCACTTACCCCTCTCCTTTTCTTCCTCGCCATAATCTGGGAGGTGGTGGTTGGTGAATTTGACCTCATCACTGAGCTTGCACTTTGCCTGTGAAGGAAGGGCCATGCATGTCACGTGCTGTTATCAGCCTAACAATTGTCCCCCCCCACCCCGCCCCCGCCCCGGGGCTTCATGGTACCCATTGATATTCAGACTGATTGCACAGTTCATGTCTATGTTATTATTATTATTTTTTTCCTTAGCTTTGGCTTCCCTTTTAGTTCCCAGGTGGTAATTATGCCTTTCAGGGAAAAAAGGAAAAAAAAATGTTAGTGAGGCCTTAATATGGCTTAGCAAGTAAAGGCCGTGGCCACAAAGTTTGCCCACCTGACCTGAGCTCCATCCCTTGGAACCACATGATGAAAGGGGAGAACCACTTGGACCTCCACAGACAAGAGGTGACAGTGACATGCACCTTTCCACACACATACACGAAATACTAAATACATGTGATTTAAAAATTGCTACTGGGTAATTTAGCTGCCAATTCAAATGGCAAAAATGAACCTGAAATTTTGTGTTCTCCAAATGAAATAATGATGGCCAGTTAGGGTGGGAGGTCGGAGATTAATATGTTCTATTTCTCCTCACGTGCTTCTTAAAGGTCAACAAGCCATCTGATAGCATGCCTCCTATTCTCTCCTGCCAGACACACTGAACATCACATGTGTCCTACTATACGGTCACCACACTGCATACTTGTCTCTAGATGCAACTTTTAAAACAAACCAGATACTTGTACCACTCCAAAATTTCAACAACTCATATTCAGTCACACAAAAAAGGCAGGTTTTAAGTTTTGCATAATTAACCTTTTAAAAGAATACCCTAGCCATATCACGGAAGAGGAGGAAATTTTGGGTTTAGTACTTTGCAGACTTTGCTTAGAAAATGAAACTGTGTGTTGTTACCAGCCTTCAAACTAAGCTTAAATCACCAGAAGCTACAATCCACTTCGAGTTTAGTAAGAGGTATTTTTATACTGAAACGTTTAATCAAACACTTATTTGGTCACAGAGTTGATCACCTAATGTGTAAGTGTCCTATGAGTATACATTAGTATATGTCGCTTTGAGTATATATGTCACTTTGAGATTCACAGATGCTATAATTCGTTGCGGTGTTAAATTCTCCAGGCCCTGCTCTCTTTCGTTTTAGAAGTTCTCTTCTCACTTCTGGATCTCAATTCGAAACCAAGCGTCCCCTTTTTTCTCACCCGCTCTCTACAGGTTTCATCTTTTCACTTGACTGCCTCCGTTTTCATTTTCTAAGACGAGACACTTCAACAATGAGATAGTTGATAAACAGCGTCTCATGCATCTTTTTTTTTCCGCTCTTGCTGTTTTCAGGCTTTGGTTTGTAAGTCTTAAAATAAGTCTGTGAAATAGAACCAGTTTTCTACATGCAGGAAGGATTTTGCTCTTTGAGTGACAGCTGCAGATAAATAATTAAGGTGCTTCTGGGCATGCCAATTAGAAGCAATTATCATTTGACCCGCCTTGGCTTTAAAATGCCTGGGTAATCGCGCTGTCACAGGAAACGGGAGGTTTGCCTCCTGTGATCACAACGCCCGATCTTCTGAAGACTAAAGGACAAGCCATTAAAGCAACGCTGCCTCGTCGTCTGCTCCTTACATCTGTCATGCATAGGTGGGTCTGCCAGATCACCCTCTGCAACCTGCGCAGCTCAGCCTGTTTAGCCTTAACAACGCAGATGCTTTAATTCCCCAAAAACTCAAGTCGCGATCCCAGCTTTCTATTCAAAAAAACAGAAATCCAGTTGTTTTTCTTTTCTCCTGACCTATTTTGGAACTGTCCCTAAATACAGTTCCAGGGGCGGGGGCGTCGCCCGGACGTGCCTGTGCGCGTGCTAGCGCTGACAGCCCCGGGACCCTCCCTCGCCATCTCCTGCACGCTCCCTTCCCGTTCCCTTTCCAGTCGCGTCCCACGCCTACCTCTCGCCCTACCCCGACTCTAGCTCCGCGAGCACCCACTTCTCGGGGACAACTTTCTCCCCTCCACCAGGAGCCCCGGGATTTCCTAGGAGCCCGAAGCTCCCGGACACGCTCCGCTTCCCCCGCGCTCACCCGGAGTAATTGTTCTCGCTCCCCACGTCGATGGTCTCATCCATGTCGCTTTCGGAGGTCGTCTCCTCGCAAGGGCGCTTCATCGCGGCGTAGAAGGAGCAGCCACCTACGCCGAGCCGGACGCAGCGCGCTCCCCGCGGGCCTCCTCCCTCCCTCCCTCCCTGCCCGGTTCCTGCAAGCGCGGCTCCCCCGGCGGCGCAGTCAGCTCCTCGAGGCTCTTTCCCACGCCGCAGCCCAGCCTGGGCGCAAGAACCGGCGCCGGCCACGCCTCCCGGGCGGGCGGGGCCCCTTGGCTTCTTCGCGGGCCCGCCCGGGCCGCCCTCCAGGCCCCGCCTCCCTAGGACGGCGTGGCTTTCTATTGGCTAAGACGGAAGGGGCGGGCCCGTTCTGGCCAATGCCTGCAACGAGGCGCTGGCAGAGGCGTGGGAACGCGGCCGCGCACCTGGGAGCCGGGAGCTGTGCGCGGTGACTCCGGGTGGCGGGCGCGGGCGCGCTCGGGGCGGGCGGGCTCCGGGATTTGAGCCCTTCTCTGCCCGCCACGGTCTCTCCCGCCTAGTTTCTGCCCTGGGTTTAAAGAATAACCGCTAGCGCGTGGCGGAGACGTGTGTGACGTTGCGGGTGGGTGAGAGGAGGGAGGGGGGCGGGCGGCGAGGCTCCTCGACCCACCCCGCTCAGCTGTCCCTCCTCTGGACCCAAGCTGCTGACTGGCTGACCGGAGCGGTCACGTTGACCCTCAGGGGATTTTTGAAAGCTTTAAATCAAAGTTGCTTTTCACCCGGCCAACTCCGCAGCTTCTGGGTTGTGGGCAGATAAGGACCCGCGCTTACCCGTCCAGGTGCCTGAGCTCAGGAGGCTGGTCCGGTGCAACATCGGATTTGCCATCCTTCGGCCACTTCCTTTGTGTCTCCAGCCACAGGGACCTGGGGAGTATATGGTGGGCTCTGTTGGGAAGGGTTAGCAAAGAAGCGGTGATTTCAGGACACAATCTGAGTAGGTTTTCGAGTTCAGACTTCTCGGACTTGGACTAGCCAAATTAAATGCTCCAGTCCACTCTCCAGCCCCTCAGGTGTGTGCAGCTTCAGAGTTCTTTAGCATCCGGGGCGAGAAGATTCGTTGGACATTGAATTTGTTTTGTAAAGTGCCCATGTTTAGTAGTTCTTAGTGCATGGACAGAATGGGTTGTCTAAACTCTAGGTGTGCTTCTAGACTTGTTTCCAAGCTGCTGCCTCTCTCTGCAAACGGCGGGACTTTTGAACCGGTTCCACCGACGTGTCGCCCCTCGCTCAGGAAGTGAGCAAGACAGTCTTGGGGAATCGGGGTGCGCTCAGCGGTCAGACGCTGCAGCGCGGGGTGGGCTGGTGGGGGTCCAGCGGGAGACTCCACGCGGTGCTCCGGGCCAGCTTTGCGCTTAGTGGAAAAAAGCCTTTGAGAAAGAGGCATCCATCAATCACCAAGACCCTCCACCTTGCACAGATGCTTATCTTTCTGGAAATCTAAGGCACCCCTTTGACATTCCATTCCCTGGCCACACTAGACCGGTGGGGCGGGAGAGGACAAGAGAAAAAGAGACAGCAAAAGACTGGCACAGACTGGGTGGATGGAGAGCTGGAAGGAGCCAGGGCAACGCCAAGGACCTGCAGCCAGCGTTGTCATTAAAACAACAACAACAACAACAACAACAACAACAACAACAACAACAACAAAAGCCCTTTCTTACAGGCCCTGGTCTCTTTTGTGCGGTCCCCACCGCGGTGCCTTCAATAACCGTGTGAACAGAAATCTGAAACTTTCCGTCCTGACTTTTGAAACATAACTCCAGGCAAATCACAAGGTCATCGGGGACCGGGCGGGGCCTGGCAAGGCAGGCTAGGGTCAGTGCGGCTGGACCGCAGAACCGTGGGTGGCTGACTCCCCAGCTCGGCACTCAGTCCCTGGGAGGGCGCCCTGGTGCTCCGTGGCCGCAGGGCCTTAGCCCGGCCTCAGAGCTGATGGCCGGAGACTGCTGGCCCGAAGCAAAGCAGGCCAGCACCCTGTGCCACTCTGCCTTCTGCATGGGTGATGCAGCGGAAGGTGAGCCCTACACCCAGCGGGTTCCAGGCCTGGCTTTTCCAGCTGGAGTTGGTGTGCCCAGCGCTCCATAGGCTTCACTCCCCCACCTCCGCCCTGAAATTAAGGTTTGCCATCGAGCACACGAGCAAATTAGTGGGGGCTTCCAAACGCCTGAAGCAAAACCTGAAATCACGCGTTGGGTGGGGGACAACCTTAAGAGGTTTTTTTTTTCTCCCTCTCACTATACTAGTGTGTTTAATTATAATGATTGCGAAAAATTGCAGCGGGAAACGGTTTGCTTGTAATAAAGTAGCAACTGGTTAAAGTTTTTCCATTTTGTCTTTGAAGACTTAACCGCTGTGCCGTGTCATAAAAGAGTATGTTAGGGACGTTGGGAAGCACGCACGGATTTAATGTTGGTTAGAATAGTTTTTTTTTTTTTTTTTTTTTTTTAAAGCAACGAGGGTCATATATTGAAAAAGTTTAGAATAGTGCCTGGGATTCCGAAAACGTGTTTAGTGTAAAGAAGAATAAACGAGACGAAAGACAGCACGTTAAAATGTCCAAGGAACATGCTGGTTAATCTTTAAAATACTTGATCCCAATTACAGTGATTTTCCATTCTATCTGTTATTCTCAAGGATCCCCTTTGCCTGTCGCCTGCCTAGACGTCTTTTCTGTGTTGGGTCCTGCGCCTGGGTCGGAGGTAGAATGTGAGGAAACTTGCAAGCGCTAAAGCCTGCTTAAAAAAAAAAAAAAACTTGGGTGGAGTGGGGAGGAAGAAAGAGAACTTTGCGACTTTCAGCCCCGTCTCCCTCTGCCACATCGTTTTTTTTTTTTTTTTCCAGAGAGAGTGGCTGGAAAGCTTGCTGAGAACCAGGGTAAAAAGAAAAGACGTCCGTGCGTGCGTGCGCAGAGCAATCTGCCTTTCTTTCCGTTGGAAAGGTTTGGACAATGGGATAATTAGGCCGATAGATACGGGGAGGAGGGACGGACTGTCCTAGAAACGAAATGCCATTAGGAAAGAAAGACCTGGCTGACAAATGGAAAGGGAAAGGGAGCTGTAGACTCTGGCGGCGGCCTTCCCTAAATTGGTCATCTGGTCCCTGGTGCGTGAGTGATTTAGCTGAGTAGAGAGGTACAGATGAGGAAGGCTCAGAGATCCGGGGAGAGGGGCACCAGACTCAGTGGTTTCCCTATCCTACCCCCCCCCCCGCCCCTACCTACCGGTTTATTATAATGTGAGTTTTCCTACTTAAATTAAGTTTGGAGATCTTGAGCAAGTCTTACCTTGTTCCTCAAATTCGAAATTTTAGCACACAAACTAATAAAGTGATTTCTTTGCTGCTACTCTAAAAATTCCCTTGAAGAATTTTGGGAATGAATCATATATATATTTGATTATATATATATGATTATATATATGAAATTTTATATATATATATATATATATATATATATATATAAAGTTTATTTATTTCTTGGGCTGCCTTTTGCTCTCATTAGAGTCCTGTAGTGGTTTTTTTTTCAACATGAGTGGTGACACTTCTTTATTTGCATTGAGATATAGCTTACAATTTTCTTAAAAAAAAAAAAACAACAACCATAAGAAAACCAACTACTGGAGCATTTGCTTGTTTCAGAGTCTGAAAAGCATGATACCATTAAAAAATACTTAACTTATTTTATCTGTGAAGTAAGGGCAATTCTGTTATTTAGAGACCTTATGTTAGTTTGAGAAGTTTAAATGCACACAGTTCAAACTCGGAAGTTCAGGGCTTTGCCCCCTTGGAAATGTAAGCATGGAGAAAGCTCTTCTGCCGCCCCCCCGCCCCCCAGAGGGAGGGCAAACAGTGCTATTTTATTTGCAATTGCCAAGCAGGTGATAAGCACGTGCTGATCTGTGGGCAGCCTTGTTGAGCTGTCTTGCCTGACTACAAGGCTATTGTGAGCAGGCACCACCTTCAAATGTGTGAGAATGCTGCGCCCTGGGAGCAGAGGGCAAGGGCAGGATCCTTGTAAATTTCAATACCTTTTCAACATCAGGCAGGCAGCAAGCAGGCCAGTCTAGGGTCACCCTGTGACACAAATATGCGAGCCAGTAAAACAACACAAAGCCGAAAGCGAGGGAACGTCTAGGCCCACCAACCTTGAAATCATCTCTGCAACAATGCTTCCTTTTAGCAAGCATCCTTGCCAGGTTAGCCACAGCACAGGGTGGACGGTATTCAGGGCTAGCTCTTCTAGGTGTTATTGCTGATACCGTCAGAGACAGCAAGGGAGGAAATCCAAGATCTCAAACTCCCTTTCCTGGATGTTGTGTTGTTTAGGCTGATCTATGCCACCAAGGGGCAATCTACTGAAAAGCGTTTCCTTCATGAGGGCTTAGTGTTATTAGTACTCAGCATGGGCCCAGGGATAAAGATTGGTTTTATTGTAGGACCCTTGAGAAGAGGGTCGCAGTACAGCAAGGAACCAGTTTTCCATACCCAAGAAAGCAATAGTCAGAAGACGTCAGCACTCAGTGTATTAGCTAAATTCTTCCAGGGGGCCAAATTGATGTTGACAAGTTTTTCTGTAAAGGAATGTCTTTAAATGTCTATGTTCTTGATGCTGGTTTGGAAAGCAGGTCTTCCCCCTCCCCTCTTTTATAGACAGAGGAAAATATGTTCACTTTTCTCATGAAAATGATTCTTCAGTATATCCCCATCCTCTCAAATGATGCCAGGCATATAGTGGGCGCATAATAGGTGGTTTGGAATGAATTTCTCATTAAAAGTAATGAACTCCACTTTGTCCCATAAACACAGAGTTTAGATACAGAGGGATAAAAATAAACAATGTGAACTAAAAGGCTATGAAAATATGAAGTGACTACTTAAATCTGAGAAGGAAAGGGCTAACTGTGAATGGGTTCTTATTTAGTCTCGAGCATCCTGGTGGCCTAGACAGAAGAGAGCCATAAAGAATTTTTTAATTTTATATCAGAAAAGTAAACACACTTAGCTTAAAAAAAAAACACTTTATTCAGAAACTGTATTCTAACCAAATCGCCTTGCTGCCTAGGTTACAGACTTGAAACGTTGAATAATTTGAAACAATTA